CAATGAAACATCATGGGAAACACCTGGGACAAATTAAACATGGGAAAGGAAGGCACATGAGGAAAACAACCACAAAACACGGAACAGAGTCTGACAGATATCAGAAGGGAGGCTAGCCTCCTCGGCAAGGGCTCTTTTCTCAACACTCCTCAGCGCTGAAAGTGAACACTCGATGCTGATTGGCTAATTTTTTTTACCAACAGAGGCACGAGAGCTCATCTCTCCCCCGGCCTCCCCCTCCCCTTCTCTATTACCTAGCGGTTGTAATTACATCAGCAGATTCGGCACATTCGCGATAGAAAAGCGGCGCTTTCACGTTATGGTATTAAAACTGTGAAATTACAAACAAAAAAATACACATTCTGAGACATGAACTGAAATGAATTGTGAATTTTATTAACATTAAATCGTCCTCCTTCCATTTTCACCTCAAAATTACGGGGAAGCTGTGCCTCCCCTGCCTCCCCCGACGAGCCGCCACTGTTGACAACTTTCTGGCACAGGGCAGCAGATTTTCCTCAAGAATTTGATGGTATTTTGCCCCATCCATTTTCACTTCTGTTCTGACAAGTGCTCCAGTCCTTGCTGCAGAGAAACACCCCATAACAGGATATTACCACCTCCATGCTCTATTGCAGGAATGCTGTTATTTAGATGGTGAGCTGTATTAGATTTCCACCAGACATATCGTTTGGTGGTGAGGTCAAATAATTAAATTTTGTCTCATCTGACCATAACACCTTTTTCTATGTGGCCTCAGAATCTTCAAGGTGCATTTTGGCAAAGCGCGGTCGTGATTGCATGTGGCCTTTTTCTTGAGGAGTGGCTTTTTCTTGCATACAAGCCAGATTTGTGGAGAATATGCGATATTGTTGTCACATGCACACAATGACCACTCTTTGTCATAAATTCCTGTAACTGCTTCAGAATTGCTGTAGGCATCTTGGTCGCCTCTCTGACCAGTTTCCTCCTGGCTCTTTCACCCAGTTTGGATCGACATCCTGATGCAGGGAGGGTCTGTGTTGTACCAAATACCTTCCACTTCTTAATAATAGACTTCACTGTGCTTCAAGGTATTGATAAAGCCTTTGAATTTTTTATTTAATTTCATTTTTTTGTATCCATCTCCTGACTTGTGCCTGTCCACAACTTTATCCGGAGATCTTTTGACAGTGCCTTGCCACCTATAGTTGTTTGCTTCAGTTGCACTACCGAGGACTGAAATGCTCCAGGAAAGCTCTTTTCATGCTGAGCTAATCAAAATGACGACAGCTGATCACGGTTGAAAGCCAAATGGCTTTGTGTGCCACTGAGAAGGTTATTAGCTACACCTAAGTAATCTTTAGGAGGGGGTTGATCCTTTTTCCAACTCGGAGGCTGCATCCGAAACCACATACTTCCCTACTATATAGTAGACAAAAATCAGAAGGTGAAGAATAAGTATGTCCGAATCCATAGTATTTATAAAAGAGTAGGCGAGAATTACCTGCATTGTGTACTAATTCTCACGAGATTTGGACATACGTATACTTAAGTTGCATCCGAATTTGCCTACTTACCTACTATATAGTAGTTGAAAACAGTATATGAAGAGATTAGTTTGTCTGAAACCTCAGTATACATAAAAGAATAGGCGAGAAATCCCCGGATGTCCTACCAATTCAGCCCAGATTCTGAAGTGCTCATCGATGGATACCTTTCTATCCCAGGAAGACACGGGAGAGGATACGTCATAATCGAACAGGGCGGAGAACAGCGATGAGGGAGTTTTCAAATGTCAGTATTATAAATCAAAAACACGGTTCTGTCACGGTTGCACTACTGAGTGGAGTACGGAGCAAGGAACGGAGGGTGACGAGGAGTACATCAATCCAGAGAAGTTTAATTACAATAAGGAAACAAGGAAAACTCACAAAGCACAGGTAGACATGAACAATACCGGAAGCTGAACTAAAAACAGGGAACACTATTTAAACACATGACAAGACGAGGGGATCAATGGAAATAAACGGGGAACACCTGGAATTAAATCAACATAATCAGGACAGGAACAGGAAACTAACCAAATATGGGCAAGGAGGGCACATGGGGAGCAAAACACACACAAAACATGGAACAAAGTCTGACATGACTCCCCCCTCCCGGAAGGCGCGTGGGGGGGTGGACGCTCTGGAGGCCTCTAGGAACAGGGTTAACGGACGGAAGGTCTCCAGGGCGGCACCCGTTCCGGGACCCATGGCGGATCTGGCAGTTCGGGGCGCCATGGTGGATCTGGCCGTTCGGGGCACCATGTCGGAGCAGGCAGACTTGGAGGCCATGGTGGAGCAGGCAGCCCAGAGGGATCAGGAGCCCTCCCTTGGCTCAACGGGGGATCAGGAGCCCTCACTGGGCTAGACTCGGGAACTGAGGCTTGGGAAGTTTCTTTACTTCTTCAACTTCGAAATCTGAACCATTTAAGAACAGCACGAGATTAATCAACTCGATCAGGGGAAAATCACACGTCGGAAAATCGCAGCGAATTATCTCGTCATCCAATCCCAGCAGGAAGCACCTAGAGCGGCGTTGTGCCAGCTCACCCGGTTAGAGAGGTCAAGAAAAACCTCCACATATCGCTCCAACCTCAGACCGCCCTGCCG